TATATATAAGTACCCCAAAACATACACCAAGCTCAAATGCCTATGGGATGAACGTGACACCCTTTATAACATTCCTAAATGCACGTGTAGTGCCATGAAGGAAGTTGGTTTTGGAATATTACTTCTGGTTTTGGAATATTACTTCACAAATGATGTACTTAAACATATCTCAAAATGAAATTAGAGGTGAACTTCCCATTTCCCTCAGTAAGACCTCGACAATGACTATCGACCTAAAATCAAATCAATTGGAAGGACGTCTTCCTTTAGCTGTCGAATAGTGTGGCTTTTGTGTTTTTTTCGAATAATAAGTTCTCAAGTGGGATTGAGTTGTATCTAAATGCAAACTTGAGTTTTTTGAAAGCTCTTGACCTATCACAAAATCATCTCTATGGTGAAATCCCATATTCATTATGTCAAATCCCTCCAACAATTCTTGTTGACCTATCACATAATAATTTTTTGGGAGAAATTCCAAAATGTCATGGCAATATTTCAAGCTATACAGAGCTAAAATTTATCAGCCTTGCATATAACAACTTATGGGGTTCAATTCCACAATGGATAGGCAACCAATCAATTTTATCATCATTGCACTTAAACAACAATGAATTTCAAGGGGAGATGCCATCTCTCAAAAACTGCAGTAAGCTTGTCACAGTTGATTTGGGACAAAATTATCTTATAGGAAACATACCTTAATGGATTGGAGATAGATTATTTTCCCTAAAAATCTTACGCTTATGATCAACCAATTTTATGGATCGATTCCTTCAGGGCTATCCAAACTAAAAGGACTTCAAATCTTGCATTTTGCAGATAATTTTCTTTCAGGGTCAATCCCAAAATCTTTTACGCTTCTCAATTCAATGGCTATACAAAATAAAAGTCTTGAACCTCTAATTCCCAGTGACATTGTTACTTATCATAATTTTTAAGGTAGAATTCCGAGCATGACCCAACTTGCCACCTTCAAATAATCAAGTTACTATGGAAATTATGAACTCTGTGGAAGACGACTTTTCAAGACTTGCGAAGATGATGAACATAATATCCAGAATGGAGAAAGCAATTCCAATGATGATGATGATGATGATGATGATTTTGGTTTGTTCCTTGGTATGGGTCTTGATTTTGCAGTTAGACTATGGGGTACATTGAGAACCTTATTGCTCAAGAAGACATGGGCAATTGTTTACTTTAAGTGGTATGATAATATGACAAATAATATTTATGTATATATCGCCGTGAAAATAAATCAGCATTTTTATCAATAAATTAAATGGCATATACATAATTATTTTATCTTGTAAATTTGCTAAACTGAATTTTATGTTAAACTGAATTTTATGTGCAAATTGCGTGAAGAATTATGTTTAAGCAGTTGATATATATTCTATATATTCTAAAAAATGATTTTCCCAACCACAATGGATGCTAAAATATGCTAAAATTAAATGATTTTCTATATATTATATATATGTGATGTCAGACATATATATTATAAAATATTATCTATTAATAATGATAATATCTTAATGTGATGTTAAAATACATCCATACTTACCTACCTACATACCTATACATACATGCATACACACATACATACATATGAAAATGATGAGCAAAAAATTATAAAAATATATAGTTGATACTTTAACTAATAAAAAATATCAACTTGGCGTGTATAGCTAACCGCACATCTGGATAACGGTCCAAATGCCTCGAGGATCCACGACGGCTCTTCCAGACCGTTGTCTCGCAGCACCAAATAATTTCTCTTCACCCGGACACATAACCTCCACTTTGAAAAGAAAAAATTCATGTCCCAATCATAGCTATAAATAAAGCCAATAATTTATGTATATGAATCATATCTTGAGAGTAAATACATTTTTTAATACATAGCTTGAGTGGCATATACCTAAAAATTAAAGTTTATATATTGAATATGTAAATATATAAGAATTGTGTGGCGTGTATGTAAATAACCTAAAATATATAAATATTGATCATGTGCGATCTTTATTAGTAGGATAATAAGTGTAATTAATTTCATTTCTTACACTTAAACTTGTAGCGCACGATACTGTGTAAGGGAGTAAAGTGTCAAAATTATCCCTGATAATTTATATCTTGACTTTTTAGGCCCAAAATTTATAAAATTATCAAAATATTACTGGAAGATTATTAGAGCTCAATTTTAAAATAATCATAAACTAATTTAACCCTTCTATAAACTCTGGGACTAAAACGGTCCTATATAAATACATAAAAATTAGGTAGTATGGAAGTAAATGCTCCTAATGTGAATAAAAATTAATTATGACAATGGTTTTATCTTCTTTTTTTTCTTTTTTTTTTTCTTTTTTTTTTTTGTATTCTCATTTTTTTAAAAAAATATATGTGTAAGATATAAAATGGTAAAGCTACTATTATTCTATGAAATTAAGCATGAATTTGGTTATATCATGGTTATATCTCATTTTCCATAATCAACATAAACACTCTCTTAACACTTCCTTGCTAAAACTTGTTAATTACATCCAGTAGTTGAGATGCCTAAGTATACCCTCGATTAAAGTGTTGGCTTATATTACACATGATTACTGATTTCGTGTATGCACGATTGATATTTCACCAGAATCGAGAACTTGAGTTAGTTGGATTTGAATTAAGTTGATTATTTGATTGATGATTGTGAAAATTGATTTAAGAAGTTTTGTTAAAATTTGTTTGAAGGTATTAAATTTAAATATTATGCACCTAAAGACCAGCTTTAAGTGAAATCTGAATCCTAGATCAAAAGTCATCGTAAAATGAGGATGAAATATCAAAGCGTTGTCTTATCTAAAACTTAATGTCCTTCAAAAATTTGACTCGGAATTTTACATGAAACTTTCTCGTCATTTCTCAATAGGAGTCCCAGCTCAAAATTTTGTAGCCTACATGATTGATATGCAATGAACAAATAAAAATTTTTTTTTTTCTTGAATCTAATTTTTCCCTTCTTTTGTTCTTTTGAGAGCACGAGCAAAGCTCAAATTACGCTGCCAATGTGAGTTTATTCACACATTAGACACACTAGCGTATGTTATCTAAGATAGTTACAAAAAAAAGTATCAAAATAGATAATAGTTATATCTTGAAAAATAAAATATCCCAACATATTATTAATAATTTTGGTACTCTAAAAAGAAATAACATACATAATTTTTATTGAATAAAAACATATATTTGCACTCATACGAATAACAATAGCAAACAAAAAGAAAAAAAAAAATGTTACAAGTTAACAGAAAAACACACATTCATAAAAATAAAAAAATTATCTGAAGCATATAAGTAGTAGGGATTATCTGGCACTTCATATTGAATATATGTGTTAGGGTTCCTTGTGTACCGCATAACACGGGTTCCCCTATCATTATATATGATGAACTCTGAGATCTGCACTATTATAGGCCAGTTAGGACCTCCTCTCGAAAATCTCAAAAGGATTGTGTCATTGGAAGTGATTGTTAAGCAAAAATCATCATCAACATTAGCGGGCTTTCGTTCTTCAAGCTACTTTTTTCATCCATTTTGGGATTCCCTTCATACTTTCATCATTCAGCTCCAACTGCTAAAGAGAATCGAGTTTCTCCACATAGTTCAGTGATCGGCATGCTTCCACAGTAGATTTGTATAATACAGGGAGATTAGACACCCTCTCCAGATTTTGATTTAGAGAGATTTCCATTTCTTCCACATCGGGAAGATTTTCTAATGTTTTAAAGCTTTGATCATCTACTATGGAAATGTTTTTAATCTTGCAAGATTAGTGCACTATATCGAAATTTATCTAAGAAGATTACTAGAGCTTAATTTTAAAACAATGAGAAACTAAACCCATATAAATACATAGAAATTATGTGGTATGGAAGTACGAAAAAACTCCGATCGTCTACTATAAAAATCTATCTAAGATTAAGAACCTTTTCATAGTAGACGATCAAAGCCTTAAAGCAGTAACAAATGTCCCCATCTTGAAAGAAATGGAAATCTATGTAAATCAAAATCTGGAGAGGGTGTCTAATCTTCGTGCACTATACAAACTTACTATGGAATCATGTCCATCACTGAACTGTGTGGAGAAACTAGATTCTCTTCAGCGGCTAGAGCTGGA